CGGGCCCGGAACTAACTTCCGGGCCTAGGTCTACACCAGCTGCCGGGCCGCGCGCGGGACGGGGCTGGGGCCTGTGGGTCCCCGAGGAAGCAGGACTCCCCGCCCTCCTCACCCCAACCTCGGGTCCCGGGAAAAGTTAAAAATAGAACGAAAAGTCCAAATACGGCCGGCGTGCCCAGGCGGGCGGAGCCTCCCTGTGGGACTTGGTCCCCCTTCTCCCCTCGTACACATGGGGGCGGGTCCCGCGTCCTGAAGCCTGCAGAAATGGTTTCGTTCCCCTAGTGAATCCAGAGCCCGCACCCCAAAGGACCCTGGCCCCTTACCGCTGGCCCCCATCCTAGTGTGCTCCTGGAGTTCCTCTGGGTCACCCCACATCTCTGCCAGGGTGTCCTCTCCCCAGAATAGCCCCTGCCTGCCCTACCCTTGCTGGGCCCTTTGGAGACCCAGGCTACCTGTGGCCCAGGATAAACCCTAGCTCAGACCCCGCTGCTAGTGGCCAGCACTTACTTTCTTCCTAGCACTGGTGTAACTTCCCCAAGCCTGCCTCTTCATCCTTAAAATCAGGCTCATATTCACTGCCATTGAGTTGATGCCGACTCATGGTGACTCTTTAAGAGCAGGTTAGAATCGCCTTGTGGGTTTCCAAGACTGGAACTCTGTGCGGAGAAGAAAGCCTTGTCTTTCTCCAGAGGAGCAGCGGACGTTTGCGAACTGCTGGCCTTGCATCTAGCAAACCCAATACAGAGGGTTCCCGCGAGTCCATAGCGCTAAGGAGCCTCCCCACCCTTCCTTATCTCTGCCACACGTTCATTCCACACGTTTGGGACAGACCTGGGCCAGCCAGGTCACCCTTCTGCAAGGAGGGGCAAGGCTCCGAGAGCTGTCTGCATTATAAAAAGCTCTTAAGCACCCTGGAGGTGCCTGTCTCCACCCTGAGGCGCAGAATGGCAAACTGACTTGTTCTAGCGGTGCGGAGGGGGGGGGGGACATAACAAGGCCTGGACTGGGCACCCTTGGCAGGGGTGGGGCTGTTGCAGGTGCGGGTTGCAGCCTCGTGGGGAAGGCTCATTATCTGCAGAACAACAACCCAGCCCGAAGCCCCGGCCCGAGGGACCCCGCAGGGGGACGCCAGCTGGGAGATGGGACACCCTGGAGGGGCGAAGGGGTTGAGTGCTGCCGCGCGCTGCTGGGAAATGGGCAAAGAGGAGCGGCAGTTGGCTGAGTCAACACTGGCAAAGAGGAGCTCGGGAGGGTGCGCCCTCCACGGTGCTCCCAGGTTTAAATCCAGAAAGGGGCGGCGAGGGAACCCACCCGGCAGTGAGGAGTGCATTTATTGGAAGACTGGGTGGGGGTGGGGGCGCGGTTGAGAAGCCCCCTACTGGAAGCACTGCACCCTCCGCGCTCTGGGCTGTAGAGGGCCCTCCAGCTCCCGCGGGTCGAGTGTGGGAGACTATGGGACTGGAGAAGGAGGCGGAGCTTCGTGGCTGCAGTGGCCGCCCCGCCCGCCGCCGCGTCAAGCGGCTGGAATGAGGGGAATCCGCGCGCGGAGGGGTCCGACCCACTGCCCCTCCACCCGGAGCTGCGCCGCCGCATTCTCTGGATGCCCGCGAGCGCCCCCGCGGCCGCCGCCCAGAGGCGGGCGGAAGGAGGGGGCGACTCCGCCGGCCCGCTCCCCGCCCTGGCTACCCTGGCCCCTCCCCGAGTCGCGGCCACACCCACCGCCCGTCCCGCCCCGCCCCGCCCCACTAGACGGAAGCGCGGGCCACAGGAGTAGGGAAAGTGGAGGGTGTGAAAGACTATTAAGGCAAAGGTTGCAGCGCTTTCTTCCCGTTATTCCCTGCAGTGCTCCGGCCAGGCCACAAGTCTGTATTATTACCTCCATTGTAGATGGGGAAACTGAGGCTGGGCAGGCTTAGTGGCTTGTTTAAGATCTCAGGGCTAGTAGAAGTGGTAAGATTGGACCCACTGGAAAGGGAACAATGCTGCTCCTGCAGGGCTGCTGGTGGTGGTGGTGGTGGGGGGGGGCTGTGGGGAGCCAAGTGCAGTGCCTTCCTCTTGGCTTCTAGCCACCCAGCACAGAGCTACCGGGGTACCCTGCCCCATGTGACATCTCAGTGACTGATGTCACGACCGCAGTGCTCTGAACTAGATGTGCCCCCTAGATGTGGTGCAAGACTTGACTGGCATGCTGGTCTTGGGAGCAGCATCCAAGGAATGGGCCCCAGCCTTTGGGGACGCTACATGGCCTTGGGCCCAGACATTGGCTGGGTTGGAGTCATGACATGGACTGACTGACCAACAAGGCTGTCTCTCCTCCCACGGGGGTGTGGGAGTGTTTCCCAGGACTGCAGCCCAGGGGCATCCTGAACCTTTACCTAGTGTGGGTCAGGTGCCCCCAAGCCTGGACTCTAGGGCAGTGCATCGGGAGAGAGCAGTGGGCTGCCTTCCACACTTATCCAGAGGGGCCATTCTAAGGAACCCTAGGTTGTTGCTATAAGCTGATTTTCATTGAGGTACCCTTGCAGCCTCTTGGGACGGGGAAATCAACCACAGAGTCATTCACCAAGAACGCAGTGCAGGTACAGAGCAGGTGCTCAATTCATAGTTACCAGACAAATCTTAAGTCTGGACCCAGGCTACCCGACTAAGGATGGTTGTGAAGGGGCGGGAGTGGGTTAGGAATTCTGCTTGATTGAGGGCTAGGGCTAGACACTCTAGCTCCAGAACCTTGGGCCTTTGCCTTCCAGACACCGTGGACTTTGGAGGGTGGGGAGGTGTCCAGCAGACTAACAGGGCACCTTGATGTTCCTTATGTCAGAGTCAAAGGATGGCACTTTCAGCTACATCATATGGGCCTGGCCTGCTCCCTCCGTCCCTCCCAGCAAACACTAGGCCCCAGCTCCACCTCAACCCTGCTCCTCACCCGCCCCCCCCCTACCACCACCACAGTAGCAGCCTCCTAACTGATCTATGGACACCCCCTCCCCACCCCTTTCTCGAGCCAACCCATTTTCCCACAGCAACTTGTGATATTTAAAAATGCAAAATCGATCCATTAACACCTAATGTTAATAGATTGGAGGATTACAGAGCAGGCTTCCAGGGTCAGGATCCAGTTAAGGTCTTGAAGCTTCTAGTCAGCCAGCAGTGTGACTGATCAGGTGGCCTCTCCAGTCCCTCCCATCCCCTGCACCCACACCGCACACAACAGGAGGAACTGTGCTCGCCCTGCCACCAGCCACACGCGGTTGGTTCTCTAAGCTTCTGTCTTTGCACCTGCAGCGTCTCCTTCCCCCTCCCCACCTGACTGACTCTCCGTCATCCTTGGAGACTCGGGGTCAGGTATCACCTCCTCCAAAACCCCTTTCTCGCTTGGCCCACACTTAGCCTCTCCTTAGCGCGTGGCACGCTCATCGCCTGTTTCTTGGTCAATCTCTCCCAGGAGTCGGCTCGAGCACGGGCTTTCCACCCCTCTAGGTACACAGCGTGGCCAGTTACCGCCTCGGAGCCGCGGGGATGAATGAATGAATCACTGAGCCCGGCTGTGGGAGCCGGAGGCCCGAGGGCGCCGGGAGCTGAGCGAGGCTGTGGGCCAACCATTCATTCGTCTCTCATTCATCTCCGAGCCCCCCACCCTCGGCACTCACACGCGCCGACACACGCGGTGGGCACCGGCGCGGCTGGGCCCGGGGGCGGAGAACGGGAAGGGGCGGGGCTCGCGCAGCTTCTCCGGAACCTAAAGGCACAGCCGGGCGGCGGGGGTGGGGTGGGGGACAGAGGGCTTGCAGAGTGCCGTGGGCCGGCGCCCCAGACCGCTTTCCCCCTAGCTCCGACGTTACCGACTAGCAAACTAAGTCCCCGCCAGCCTGAGCCTGGGTACCAGGGGCTCCTGGGAGCCTGCGCGGGCGGGGCCAAGCCCACCCACGGTCCCCAGCAACGCCGGGGCCAGCGACCCGGGTC